CTACACTCTTGGAGACATCCCTTGCAAATGTTTCCAGGTACAATATTCTCCTTCAAACATATAAACGTGCAACTGGCAATTCTGTGGGACGAGGCTGTGCAACAAATCACTCTTGTCCGACTAATATTCTACTTGCTGTTTATATGTCATAGTATGCGTTTCAGTTCTGTTTTTGTTTTAATGATGTGTGTGTTTTGGGCGGGGGGTGGCGTTAATAGCTTTAAAAAGTGATTTTATCATGTCTGTTTTAAATTGTTAACCACCTTGGTGGCCTTTGTGAGGGCAGAAAGGTGGGATATAAGTTTTGTAAATTTAAAAAACCCTGTTAATTCTTCCACCCCCTCCTTTACCCTTGTCCCACACTTTCTGCAGGGGGCTTCTTGCCAGCCACCACACAACCTCTCTGCGGCCTGGCACCTCGGACACACACACACACACACGTGCCTCACAAACACCTGCGCCAGGCTTCCAGACTCCCTTGAGGCACACAAAGCCACCTCCCACTCCCCCACCCCATTTCTGTCTCACGCACTCCTCCTGCTACAGCACACATTGCCTTGCCTTGCCTCTCCTCCACTTTCATGTGCAGGACACACACTGCACTGCCGACACACATGCCAGCCCTGCTGCTAGTCTACTGCAGGCACTATCGCACTCCCAGCCACGTGCTCTGCACCACTTCCTGTGGATCTTACAGCCCTCTGACAAGGGCTCATCAGAACACACCTGCCGTGTCCCCCCCACACAGCCCCCTCATTCATCGTGCCCTCAAGCACTCCCCCCTCTCCCCACAGGCCACAGCCCTCTTCCTCCTCCTCCCCCCCAGCAGAAAGGGGCTCTACTGGGAAGATCTGGGGCTTATGGGCTGTACTGCTGGGATAGCCACGCTCACCCCGGTGCTGACAAGAGACAGCATGATGCGCTCGTTCAGGGCCAGCGTCTCCCCCTGCTTCATCTTAATCCTCTTCTTATCCAGACACTTCATCGCATACCTGTCAGGAATAAGGAGAGCAAAGGATCCTGCTGCTACGTCCTTGCCAGAACCTCGGGAATCGTCTCTACCGAGACCCCTCTGCACAGCTCTCCCAGAGAGCGGCCACCAGGGAAGCACAGAAAGATAACCTTTGGCCTGGTGCTTTCTGAACCTATTCTTCCCGTAGGCCATCAGAATGTTAAGCCAGATGAAACGCCTAGAGACACATCAAAGCTTTTTTTTGGGGGGGAGGGGGATGTTTCTAGGTTGCCTCCCCATACAGGTCAAAACAGAAAGGGCTCAGTTTGCCAATGACTAGATTAAACCAGTCTCCCTCTTATCTCATACATTCCCCTTTCAATTAACACTAAGCCTGTTAAAGGAAGAACAAACCTGCCTGAGTTTCATGTTGTGTTTTATTGGCCTGGCAGAACAGAAGTGCGCGGGGGTGGGAGTGGGGGGACGGCACCAAAGAACTATGCTGCCACCACCCACAGTGAAGGAAGGGTAGAGGGGCTTCAGAGAAAACGGGGGTTCTCTCAACTGGCACAGGTGTCATCTTTACCACAAAAGAGGGGCCGCCTCAGGATGCTCTAGGGGCTGAGATACTGGAAGGTACCTATCGTACCTTATAGGTTCAAACCATGTTTACATTTTGGTTTGCATGCAGCTGTGCTATTATCTCCCTCATAACCTGCCCTGCTCTCTTCCCTGCCCTCAGTAAAGTCTTTTTTGGTTTATTACAAATAGAGAAGACAATTTGTTTGGCTAAGGGGGGGGGACGGGGACAGACACCTGAAGTCAATTCTGAAATGATGGACAATTCAACTCTGTGCACAGTGCCACGGACTGTGCCATGGACAACTCTGTGCACAGTGCCAGGGAGTAACTCTGTATGGGACTACACTGTAATTCTACAGAAGTAGTGACTGTTCCCTGAGCTTTCTGTACACTGCTTGAGGGACTCTGGGTTCAGTGTAGGTTGGGCTCCCAGGAATCAGGGGCAAGCGGAAAAAAGACCTTCAAGCAGCTTGCTATCAGCTTGCAGCAGCTGGTTCCGAATGCTGTGAGCTTCCCTTCACACTCCCGAGGAGCAAAAAGATTGGCCATGGAGTTGGGGGGATGGCCACGATGGCCACTGCAAACCTCTGGGGATATTATCATTTCTACATATCCTCAACAATTCTGGGGGTGTAAAGATGAGAAACAATGAAAAGGCTACACTCTGTATGTTCTCAGACCTCCTCCCAATATATGGGTGAAAAGAAACAATGCTCCCTTAGATGCAGTTACACTGATTTTCGTCTTCTGGCCTGTGTCAGTGAGCACACGAGCAGGAACACACTTCTGTTAGCAAAGCTGGACCAACAAAGACTACCCCAGCCATCACTGAGGGAGGAGGGCAAGTCCATCCAGCCCCCTCCTACTGACATTCTGACTGCTATCATGCCAACTATCTGTGGGAAGAGCTGCGTGGCAGGAAAAGCTCTGAGCTCCTCAACCCTGACACTGTCTTCTGTTGTGCTGCCACCACTCTGACCAAGGCAGCAGAATCACCACTGTCACTGGCAAGAAAGGGCAACTGCGGTTTGAATTCAGATGTTCAAACTTAGTTGTAAGCTGCCTTGAAAACCTAACTGGCAGAAACAAAATGTTAAAATGAATAACCTAAGCTTTGCTTTGATGGAATTCTCACTTTACCCTCAACACAATGCCAAACATTACATTTTGCCTGTGTCTGCTTTCCGGCAACCGTAGACCTCGCCAAAGCCACCACGCCCGATGATGCGGTGGACACTGAAGTCATTCATGGTCAGCTAGGTCCATGGAAGAAAGTGGGGCAAAAAATGGAGGGGAAGGAGACAGGAAAGGAGAGGGAGGGAAGAATGTTAGCATTCCATGGGCACCGTATTGCTCCTGTAGCATCTCAGAAGCAACGTACATTATATGCTCAAACTTTTAGGGACATACCACTCACAGACGTGAATGGCTTTCCCCACATTCCTCCTTCACCTCCAGTCACGGCTGCTTGGGAGATTATTTCAGTCTGATTTTAGATCCTGACTCAAGATCATCTTATGTCGTGTGTAGGCTGAAAAAATTTGTTCTAGGGTACTGGCACTGGACTGGGTTCACTTAATCTCTCAGACCTATACAGAACCTTCAAACCCATAATTACATGTACTAACAGTGCAATCCTAAGAACATGTTCCTAGAAGTGAGCCTCATTCAATAGATCCAAATAAGATCCAAGTAGGGCTGCTTAGGATTACTCTCCAAATATAAAACAATAATAATAACCCTATCTCCCTGTGGCTACAAAGACTGTAAAGCTTGCTGATGCAAGAGCTAGGTTTCCCCGGCATGGCCAGTGCTTTGTGGATTCTATAACACTCTGGCATACACTGACAACTGTGCCCAGAGGCAGGTCTATGTGTAGTGTCTTTTGAAAGCTCTTGTGTTTTCACTGCAACTCTCAGGAATGCCCTCCCACCCTCATCGACACTCACATGGATGTTCAGCTCTACATTCTTCCACTGACAGAACCGTGTGAACTTGTCACTAGAACAGAAAGGTAGAAGGAAAACAAAAATGAAAGAACAAATAAAAACTCGCTGACAGCTATCTCCAACGCACATTCCTCTAAAAGAAATCCCCCACTCCAGTTCCTTCACTTAAGACTCCTCAAGCCCAGTAAGCTCTATTACAGAGACTCAACAAATACTCCAGAATGGAATGGTGCACACAAGAGGGGGATGCACAGAGATCACATGAGCATGTGCAGTTCTCCTATCAGCTGTACCTGTTTTCTCCCTCTGTATGGAACTAGGCAGCTTTTGTGGGAGATTCAAATGGGGCAAATGGCACAGGCGGAAAGCATTAAACTACCCCAGTGTTCCGGCCACAATCAAGTCTAACATTAAAAAAAAATCCAGGGAGATCCTGATCAGCTGTCTCCCATGTGACACCTAGTTCAGTCCCACAGCCCACTGAGTTCAACAGGACTTGAAACTTATTAAGGGTCCATAGCATTGCTGCCTTACAGCATGATCCTATGCATCACTAATCAGAAGTACATCCCACTGCATTCCATGGAGCTTCCACTCCTGAGCAATTGTGCATCTTCCCACCTTTGGAGACGTCTCCCATTCCCAGTCATTCCACAACAAAGTAAAGTTTACTCTTCATATCAGATTCATCATTCCCCCCCCCCCCAGTTATTTCCTCAGATAAACCCATTAAGCATTACTGAGGCATCTTCTCCCACTGGATATCCTTTGCCAAGAAGTCACAGACACATGCCACATAAAGTCCGTGGTCTTTGACACTCACCTCTCAAAGTACTTATGGAAGATATCCCCACGCAGGCACTGACAAATCTCTTCAATGTATGGCTGTCAGAGGAGGGAACAGGCAAGAGATTAACACCACAAATCTGTTTCCTACCCGCATGATCCCTGCAGCCCTGAGGATGCTTACACCAAAACCCCTGGCACACACGACTGTCACCAGCTGCACTGAGATCTGGCCCATAAGATGCTTCTCTCTGACTTAACGAATGGTTTCTCCCCCACGCACCAGTCTTGATGGCCCTGGGCCAAACGAGATTCTGGACTGGATGTATACAGTGACTTAGACCAAAAGCACACGTGCATTATAAAGCCCAGAAAGCTTGAAACGAGACTGTAAATAATTTTTCCTGCATGGTGGTTGTTAAAAATCTGGTATGAACACATTCAGAATAGCTTTTCTGTTGTTCCTCCAAGTGTGCACAAGGGCCAAGAAGTGCTTTGCAGCAGCATGGTGAATTCAGTCCCCGTCTACTGGGGGAGACATACCTGGAACAGGTCAGGTGGAACCTGCTTCTTGCTGAGGCGGCTCTGCACGTACTCCGTGGCACTCTTGGAGAATGGCTGTCAGGAGACACAGGAGTAAATGAGCTTGGATACCTACAGCTCTCCAGCCTCTCTCACAGGCAGCTTCCATGTGGGATTATGGAAACATGCCCCAGCCGTGGCGGCGGCAGCAAGAGGCATAAGAACAGGCAGGAACAGTGTCCACACACCCCACCCCCACCCCACAGACAGGGACAGTGTCAACTCCCAGCCCCAGCGCTCATTGCTGCACACTCCAGCTGCTGCCTGCCCATGCATCCACCCACACCCTTCACTCCCCAAAGGAGACTCAGAGTGGTTGACAAACTCCTTTTCCCTTCCCCTCCCCACTGCACTGACACCCCCTGTGAGGCAGGCGGGGCTGAGAGAGCTCTTGACAGAAACAGCTCTTTTCCAAGGACAGCTCTTGTCAGAACTATCAGATCCTTCTACCTGTTACTGAGGAAGAACAGTGGTTTGGATCCAGCCAGCTTTTTCACCCAGTCTCACCCAATTCTTCTCCTTACTGCTGCCCCTGTTCTATGTGGTTTTTCGTCCATGGAGGCCCCATAATCCCTGACGGTAGCCTTTTTGAGTAGTCAAACTGGACTCCCTCCTCCTTTTTCACTGATGGGAAAGTTGGTTGGATCCCACTCACAGCTTCCTATAAGGTGATGCTCTTGGTGGCTATTCTCTCCCCCCCCCCAAGTCGCAGCTGATGTATGGTGATGGCGGGGGGGGGGTCCCAAGGCAAGAGACGTTTCAGAGGTGCGCTTTGCCCTCGCCTGGCTCTGCATCACACCCCTGGTGATGCCCTGGAGGCTGCCCTGCCACCCTGCTTAGCTTCCAAGATTGGGTCTCCCAGGCCAGGGTAGGCGGCTGCCTGCAACTGCTCAAAAGTAAGGCTCAGACAGGAAACAAACCCATTAGCCATTAGTGGTAGGAGAGAGGGAGGGTGGTTAGGAAAGGAAGATGCACACTGGGACCAAAAATCCCACCCCCAAGGACAGGCTAATGGAGTCTGAACGGGTTGAGACCGGGGTCGGAGTGGGCAGCTGAATGGAAGCGTCAACCCCGTGGGCTGCAGCAGTGAAAAAGGCAAACTCTTATGTTAGGGATTATTAGGAAAGGGACTGAGAATAAAACAGCCAGTATTGTGGTTTAGCCTCATTTGGAGTATTGTGCATCGTTCTGGTCACCCTGTCTCAGAAAGGACATTGCAGAGATGGAAAAAGTACAGCGGAAGGCAATCAAGACGATGCGTGGGTTGGAGCCCCTTCCCCAGGAGGCTGAAGAATCAGAGACTTTCCACTTTAGAAAAGAGACGACTCAAGGGGGGGGGACACACATGATAGAGATTTATAAAATTATGCACGGGTGAAGTTGACAAAGAGAAGTATTTCTCCCTCTCCCAAAATACTAGAATTTGAGGGCATCCAGTGAAGCTGATGGGCAGCAGATTCAAGACAGACAAAGGTAAATACTTCTGTACACAGAGGATTAAAATTTGGAATTTGCTGCTGGAGGATGTAGTGATGGCCACGGGCATAGATAGCTTTGAAAGGGGATTGGATAGGCTCATGGAAGATAAGTCTATCAGTAGCTACTAGCCAAGGTGACTGAAGGGAACGTCCACATTCAGAGGCACTAAACCTCTGAATCCCAGTGCCAGGAGGCAACAACAGGGGAAGGCCTCAGCCTCCGTGCCCCACTGTGCTTGGCCCTCCAGAGGAACTGGCTGGCCCCTGTGTGAGCCGGGAGGCTGGACTGGATGGACCCTCCCTGGTCTGGCCCAGCAGGGCTCTTCTGATGTTCTTAAAAGTCAGGATTAGTACTCCTAAATGTGTGTCATGTATTGAACCACAGAAAATACTTGGGACTATTGGAGAGCACTTAACGCCACTTATATGGTATGAATGTATGAAGCTATCTGATAACGAATCATCAATAATAATTACCGTATGGCATTGTGATCCTAAGAATGTCTGGCTACCTGAAGAACTAGTTCTTTTTAGTGCTATGCACCACTAGGGGGCAAGCTAGACTTATTTTGGGGGCTGAGAGAGCTGTAGACTGACCCAAGGTTATCTGGTACAGGGTTATCTGGATGACGCTTCTGTCCTTGAGCCATTCCAGCCCGGCTTCCACCCAGGACATGGGACAGAGACAGTACTGGTTGCCCTGACGGATGACCTCCGCAGACACCTGGATTGAGGCGGTGTGGCAGCGCTGTTGCTGTTAGATCTGTCGGCCGCATTTGATACGGTCGACCATCAGCTGCTGGCCCACCGCCTCGCCGACGTGGGGATCAGGGGGCTTGCCCTTCAATGGCTTGCCTCGTTCCTCCAAGGTCGGGGACAGAGGGTAGTGCTAGGGGAACACCAGACCCGGAGGCACCCGCTCGAGTGTGGAGTGCCTCAGGGGGCTGTGCTTTCCCCGATGCTGTTCAACATATATATGCGCCCCCTCGCCCAGATTGTCTGGAGGTACGGGCTGGGCTGTCACCAATACGCAGATGACACCCAGCTCTATTTGATGTTGGGCGGCCGGTCGGACTCCGACCCTGAAGATCTGCACCGGGCTTTACAAGCTGTGTCTGGATGGCTCAAGCTGAGCAGGTTGAAGTTAAACCCGGTGAAGACGGAGGTCCTGTGCTTGAGTCGGACCGGATCAGGGTTAGGGCTCCCGCTCCCGGCCTTCGATGGGGCATCTCTGGTGCCAGCTTCGGAGGTTAGTAGTTTGGGAGTGCTCCTGGACCCCACCTTAACGATGGAGGCCCAGGTGGCGGCCACTGCCAGATCGGCCTTTTATCATCTACGGCTGGTACGGCAGTTGGTTCCTTTCCTTGACCGCAACGACCTAGCCACAGTGATCCATGCGACGGTCACCTCGAGGCTAGACCACTGTAACACTCTCTACATGGGGCTGCCTTTGTCGCAAATCCGGAAGCTACAGCTGGTGCAGAATGCTGCGGCCAGGTTGTTGGTGGGCGCCCCGAGTTGGGAGCACATCCGACCTGTGCTGAAAGCGCTGCACTGGCTGCCTATAGCATACCGGATTCGCTTCAAAGTGCTGGTGCTTACCTTTAAAGCCCTACATGGCCAGGGTCCGACTTACCTGAGGGACCGCATTTCCCCATATATTCCCCAAAGAGCACTTCGGTCGGGGTCGCAACACCAGCTGGTGACCCCAGGCCCTAGGGAGGCCAGGCTTGCGGCAACGAGGGCCAGGGCCTTTTCGGTGGCGGCTCCTACCTGGTGGAATGAGCTCCCGGAGGAGATCAGGGCCCTGCGGGACCTTGTGCAGTTCCGCAGGGCCTGCAAGACGGAGCTCTTCTGCCAGGCTTATGAGTAGGAGCCGCCACAGCCACTACCACCACCGCTTTTTTCCATCGAGGGGTAGGAGGGGTAACATCTTTACCACCCCAACCTCTCCCACTGTGCGTAGGATGTTATTTGAGAGTTTATTTATGCATCTGTAGTATTGATTTTAAATTGCTTTAACCTTGTATTTATATTTGTATCTGTAGTCTTTACACTGAATGCACATGGTGCCTTATGTTAGCCGCCCTGAGCCCGTTCGCGGGGAGGGCGGGGTATAAATGTAATAAAATAATAATAATAAATAATGTGGAGAAGTGCGGAATCGAGCCCAGTTCTCCATTCCTCCACTCTTGACCACCACACCAGGCTGCCTCTCTCATCTTCGTCTTCACCTAGATAAGCCCTGTCTACTCGGACTGGCAGTGGCTCTCCACGGTCCAGGTGAGAGAGAGAGAGAGAGAGAGAGAGAGAGAGAGAGAGAGAGACGTTTTCAACATCTGCTACTTGAGTTCTCTGGAGCTGGATATGCCAAAAGGGCTCCCCGCGTGCAAGGCGCATCATGACCCACAGTCCCTTCCCTAGTTGACCAACCCTCCTCCGTCAGGGATTGTGATCAAGTGGATTATGGAACAGATTTTCTATGCAAGTCCTAAGGGCTTTCCAGACTCTCCCATGGACAGCAAAGTATTTGAGAGGCTCACATGAGAGCATGACAGCAGCTCCTTCATGATATATGTGTCAAAGATCTGGCGGCTCTTCATTGCACGCTCCTCCTCAGAATCCAGCTTCTCATACTTCTTGATCTAGAATGAATAGGCAAAGTCACATCAGAGATACACAGCACCAGGATCCAGTCATTTGCATCTTCCTACAGCCATGACTTGAACCAAATAACTGAAAGGCTAGGTATGGCATACGTTTTTAAAAACATGTTTTGCTTAGAGACTCTTTTTGCTGCTGCTGCTGCTGCTGCTGTTGGGGGGGGGGAAGCAGATTACCGTGGCCCCCCCTGTCTGTGCTCGTTTCCACATGGGTGATTTGCACCAGGTCTGATGCTGCTGGGAAGTGGGCTCTGTTCCTGTTTCCCTCCAGCATCATGGCGTTCCCATGCACCACTTGGGTTTTCCTCTGTGACTTTCTCAAACCTGCTTTGCCGTGATGTTTTGGGGGAGATCTCAGCAAAGCTAGGCTGGCTGCTACGTGGGAAGGAAAGTCCGGGTTTTCCCAGTCCTGCCCACACAGCAGCCATTCCCCCCCCTTTTTGTCCCCATGCCAGCCCCTCCCCCTCTGGTGCACCACCAAGGGGCTCTTTTGAGTCTTTTAAAATGCATCTGGCATGTCAATAAAATGATATAGGAGCATGTCTATTGCTGTTTTAAAAAACACTCAGGAGCCCCACCCGCCATGTGCCACAGGGGCTGGAAGCTCCATGGCTCCTGTGCGGCATCAGCATCTGCAGCCACACTGGGGCTTCCACAGGAAAGCATCGCCGTGTGGAAAAGGCACCTGTGGTGGTAACAGAAGTGGCTGATTGGTGGGGACAACGAGGAAGCAAGGTCAAAGGGACAGGAGGGGCAGGAGATTACAGGGAGTGCAGTGCACAGAAGCTACAAAGCAAGAACTTAATTTTCTTACTTTAAATCTATTTTTATTTTAGAACTGAGACAAAAATGGACAGTATATGTCTAAAACCATCTAGCGGGTTACACAGTAAGGAAAATAGTGCATAGCAGACTTTTCCAGCCTTTGACTGTTTCAATATAGACTTTTACCCATTTTTATTTTTGTCTCCACATCCTCTGTCCAAAAGGCAAGGTCTTTCAGGATTTTGGCAGGCAACTATGCCACACACAGTAACTAGAGTTGCTAGGTCACAACCCAGAAATTCCCCCTGTATCTTTACATTCTCTCTCAAATAGGAAAGCAAAATAGCTGAGCCTTCTCTCCCCCACCCACTCCTATTGGTTGGTCTCTCCCTCACCTGCTGTAATATACAGGACTCCAGAGACAAAAGTACCAGGAGGAAAATGGGCAAGAAGGACCCACGATTACCGGTCAAGAATTTAAAGGCACAGTGGGGAACCTCCTGAATTGCAGTCTAGCAATCTAAATCCTAATAACCAAAACGTGCCAGCTATACAAGGCAGTATTTCTCAAGGGCGGGCAGATCTGCGGATACCTAAATTCACCGATCGGGCCCACACTGAGAGAAAGGAGATTTTCCTCCAAACTTGGGCAAACCTCCAAGTTTGCAGAACAATCCAAAAACATTAAAAAACAAAGACTGTTGTGTGTTTTTTTAAATCCTCCCCAAACAAAAATGTTCTCTGTGCACATGTGCAGAAGAGGGCCCTGCTGCAGCTGCCTTCGCAGCGGCTACCGGGACCACCAACACTGCCGTTCCAGAGGGCTCTGCCGACTGCCAGTGGTCCTGCTGCCCACATGGCAACCCTGCAGCCAGCCACCACTGTGGAGGGAGAGGAGGCAGGCAGGGGGGCACTGCCGCTGCTGCCGCTGCTGTGTGTGTGTGTGGGAGGGAGAAGCAGGCAGTGACTCAGAGAGCCCTTGCTGCTGCTGCTGCTGCTGCTGCTGCTGCTGCAGGGACAGAGGGAGGAAAAAGCAGTGAGCAGTAACTACAGAGGAGTGGAAGAGGAAGCGACGTCTCATCCCCATCTCTGCAGCTGCAGGCTCAGCTGCCCTTTTAAGACTTTCTCCCAGCTTCTAATGTGTCAGACTTCAGGGAGAAGCAGCGCCAGAGGTGGGGTGTGTGAGGCTACCTGGCTTCCCTCCCTCCAGCTCCACAGCTGCTTCTCCCATGAACAATTAAAAGTTGGGATAAAGTTTTAAAAGGGCAGCTGAGCCATCAGCTACAGAGACCAGGATGCGAACGAGCTTCCTCTCCCAGCCCCTTGTAGTTTCTGGCTCAGCTAACCTTTTAAAACGCCCCTCCTCCTTTCTCATCAGTCAGCCTGCAGCTGAAGAGGTCAAGGAAACGAGGGGAGGACGGCAAAGAGAAATGGGGGGAATGTTGATAGAGAAGGGTAGTGGGGGGAGCAGGGCCGGCTCTTCCACCAGGCCAACTAGGGCTACGGCCTAGGGCGCAGAGCTCCCAGGGGTGCAGCGAGGCCCCTGCCGCCGCCGCCACCCCCCCCAGCATGGCTTTCTGGGTGCCTGCTCCACAGCACACCCCTTCCCATCGGCTCACCTCGCACCCCAAAGGGAGAGAGGGATGTGCACCTGGGGGGGGGGGGGGGGAGACAGCAAATCCCAACCTGGAGTCAGGCAACCCTACTCCCTCACTCCCCACCAGTGGCCAGGGAGGACCTCACAACTATACCTACATGTGAAAACCCAGAACCCAAGTTCCACACAAAAGATATCTTCATTCTATTGTAAACACAGTTCCCAGCCTGGCACAATAAATCTTTGAGAAGAGATGATAGGGAGAAAAGCACTTAGCCAGCAAGCAACTTTAACGCCCTATCCAAGATACAGAATGGAAATAAAGACAAAAATACAAGACAGAAAGTAATTGCAATGATACAACAATTCATGTTTTGCACAGTCCTAATGTCTGGTTGTGTTACTTTAAGCTAGGGCCCAATTAACGTTCCAAAACCAGGTTTTCTGGCTAGTCCACAGTAAACCAACCTAGAGGAGACAGGTCAGAAGTTGCCCAGGTAGAACCAGGAGGTGCTGTAGAATAAGCAGGGAAGGAGTTTCAGATAGGAAGGGAGGACTCTCTAAATACGATAAGAAAAGGGAAGGACCACCTGGCAATGGGTCTGACCAGCCTGATACAGAGGATGGAGAAGTTAATCAGTGGTGACTGGGTAAAAGGATGTGGAGGATCAAATTCAGGAAGGAAAGCAGAGAAAAGGAGAGGAAATCATACTCCAACCGTCTTGAAGACAAAGCGTCTGGTGACTTAGCACTCACAATGGTGGAAGAAGGTTCTGGAGGGGAACCAGCTACCAAGATGGAGAGCTTCAGATGCCTTTCTTATGCACCTGGAGTTACCTGGGCACCAGTGGAGGAGCCCTGCTATTTGCCCCGGCTTGGTGCAGAACTAGCACCCACAATGGCACTAGGCCAAAGCTTCAAAACCTGGCTGCCCAATGGTGGGGTTCTGGTTCCATTATGACTGCTACAGCATCAGGATTTGAGCCCACTGTAACCCAAGAACCTTCAAACGACAAACCTGTACACAAATATTTCTTGAATGGAGAACAAGGAAGATTGTATAGAATCATCAAGCCTTCTTTCCTACTCAGCAGCTACAAGTAGGTAGCTCAGAGGTCCCCATCCTTTTTGAGCCTGTGGGCACCTTTGGAATTTGGAGAGAGGATGGTGCACCACCTCAAAATGGTTGCCACAGGAGACAGAGCCAAATATCATACTTTCCTCCTCATTTTGCAAAAGAATTGCAAAAGGGGAATAAAAATAAATGGAGGAAAGCTCCCCCCCCCCGGGGGGGGGGGGGGGGAAGGGGGAAAGAAGGGAGCAAAGGTGGGGTGGGTGTGGGATGCACCTTCCCCACGTTTAGGTCTGTTTTCGTCCCTTCTGGAACAGGCCTCCTCACTACTGGAAAGGGATCCTCATCCCCAAATTAATTTTGGCAAATGGTCTTTTGCCACAGTGTCCTAGGGAATTCAACCTTCTGCATCCCAGGTCAGAGAAAGCAATCTGGGTGCAACTATAATGCAACTGGGATGGATCTCTCTCTCTCTCTCTCTCTCTCTCTCTCTCATTCACACATAAAAGGCCTCACCTCTTCATAGAATTCCACCAGTGGCTTGGCCTCCTCCATCTGATTCAGGCAGAAGTCTCGAAATAGCAAGTACCCTAAAAAATACATACAATTGTCAGCAGTTAGGGACTGATGCACCCTCCTGTAAATCAGACAGTTGCCCCTGTCTGAACCAGCAGTTCCTGGAAAGTCTGTTTCTGTATTCCATTCCTCGTACCAATAAAACCTGTAAGGGAAATTTGTCTGCAAGCCTGTAGCCCATGGGGAGCGCCTCCCCCCCATGATCTTACAGGCCCCTCCTCAATCCTCAGCTCCCCCACCCCACCCTCGCTGCCCTCAGCCCAGGAGCCGGTGACTCCACGCCGCCTGCTGCTGCCCCAGCCAACCTTTCAGGTGCCTGGAGGGCAGAGGGGAGGGCTGCTGAGGGGGGGACACCTGCCGCCCGCCGTGCCTCTCTCCTGGGCACCTGACTGCCGCCCTCCCTGCCACGGCCAGCCGGGCTCCCGTGAGGAGGAGGAGGAGGAGGAGGAGGAGGAGGAGGAGGCTCCCTGCTCTCTCCCCTGCCCGGCCTCCGCCCCTGGAGACCAGTTGGGCAGGGCTCCTGTCCTCGCCGCCTCGGGGGGTGGGGCAGGTCACGTGGGGTGGGCTTGTTGCTGGCCCCCCCATCACCGCCCTTCCAAGGCTGGGGGGGTCAGCGGTGGGTAATCCTCTCCGAGTCCGAGCCTTCTCCCCTGCGGCAGCGGCAGCAGCCTGGACGCTTGCCTTGCCTTGCCGGAAGGGCCGGCCCAAGGCTTTTTTGCGCCCTTGGTGGGGCTACCGTCTGGCGTCCCACCACGTGTGCCCACCAATTATGGGGTTGCCAACCTCCAGGTGGGGCCTGGAGAGAAGGAAGTCTCCGTGAATCCGCCAAAGAATAATCCCCCCCTTTTCACTGCCTTCGGAGAAGCCCAGCCGGGGTGGGCAAGGGGCCCTTTGGTCTGCCCCTCCCACGCTCCCGGGGGAAGTCCGCCTCTTGGCGAGCTGCACCATACGCCGCGTTCCATGCAGGCGCCAAGAGGCGCCTCCTTGTCTTCTGCCGGGCATTGCCAGCCGGCGAGCCCAGGTGAGGGGAGGCCGAGGCTGGCCGGCAATTCCTTTTCCTGCCTCCCCCGTCACTTGGTTGTACGGGGACGCCTCCTGCTGCTCCCCAGTAGGCGGCCGCCAGCCCGCCTCTCTCGCTGTGGTGGCTCAGCTGCCGCCAGGAGGTGGTGGCCTGCACTCCCTCCGCGCCGCTTGGCCTGCAATATGCCTCCGCTGCCCTCTGGCTGGCCTCCATGCCATTCTGCTCGGGGGACTGGCCGCTGTGCTCTGCCTGCTGCTGGTGCTGAAGGGCTGCCCGGGCGCTGCTGCCGCAGCTCGCACCCTACACCTCGCCGGCCACCCTCCCCAGCAGCTGCCGCGAAGTGCCCTATCCAGGACAGCCTCTTCCTCCGCCTCTGCTCCTGGTAGGGTCCCGCAGTTTTGCAAAACGCTCGCCACCAGAGAGGGAGCAGTAATGGCACGCGGGGGCTTTTGGCGGGGGGGAGGCACAGTTCGGCACCCCATCCAGGGCCCGGCGCTCTAGGCGAATGCCTAGTTCACCTAGCGGGTGAGCCGGCCCTGCTTGCCGGTGTCCTGGACCGGCGCCAGGCAGGAGTGCGTTGAAGGCGATGGCAGAAACGTACATGTGAACAGTCAACAGACATTCTAATATCTATTGCATACATTCAGAATTCTACTATCCTGAAAAAGAAATACACTAAAATACATTAAAATACAGAGGATTTATAGTCCTTCTTGTTGAGAATACATATGTGAGGACTATAATATGCAATAAACCACTTGTATTTATGGTTAGACAGTGTCATCGATGCAACGAACATGAAGTTGAGCAAACTTCAGAGGACGGCAGAAGACCGGAAGTTCTTGAATTTATAGTCCTTCTTGTTGAGAATACATATGTGAGGACTATAATATGCAATAAACCACTTGTATTTATTATTTAGTTATTATTTAGAAGTATGAGCATGGCACGGCTTGCCCAGTCTTGAAAATAGAGTGCTGGAGTTGGACTAGAATGACATTGGTCTTGTTCAGCAAGGCAAGTCTTACACAGACATATAATGGCAAGCCCCCCGAGCAAAACATTGCCCCCCCCCCGAGCAAAACGTTGTTAGCTACGGGGCTGTTTGTCTGACATGGAGCATCATGCTGAAAACACGGGGGATTTTTTGTGTTGTTGCCATCTTAAGAAAAGAAGACTTGCCTTGCTGAACAAGACCAATGTCATTCTAGTCCAACTCCAGCACTCTACTTTCAAGACTGGGCAAGCGGCTGCCCTGACCTTCCCAGGTACAGTAGCCAGTAGGGCTGCTGCTGAGCCCTGTCCTGTACCTCCGGTAAGTACTAAGAAAGCAGAAAACAATGCAGCTTTTAGTCCCTTTCTTTGCCTTAGTAAGAACAGGTCTCTGGTTTTGATTAAAAACAGCCAAAGGAGCAGGATGACGAAAGGGACCCATAGAAAAATGAGGTAAGAAAAATTGCATCTGTGTTGTCTCCCATTTCATTGGTACAATGTTAAAGGCATATGCAAGTTCTCTATGTGGCACCCGGACATCCTGCCAAGAGAACGATGACTTTGTCTTCTTCATTTGTGCCCCCAAGTGGCTGCCACCCTTCCCTTCTCCTCCGTTTTATCCTCACAACAACCCTGTGAGACAGGTCAGGCTGAGTGTGTGTGACCGGCCCAAGGTCACCCAGAAAGCTTTAAAAGAATTAAAGATGCACACATCAGAAGCGGCAGCAGAATCAGCATGTAAATGATAAAACAACAACATGGCAGCTACAGAGCAGCTTTCAGTCGGAACCTGTCACCTGAAGAGGAAGAGATTCCATAGTCTGGGCACCGGAGAAGGCCCCACCCAGGACAGCCACTCTGCTTCCTCGGACTGATCACTGTAGAGCAGGGCGCCAGCCAGCCAGGCGGTGGTGGTGGCGGCCTGGTCCTTCAGCTGCCCTGGTCCTCCAGGTTGCTCGAGGTCATTGCCAGCCCTTTGACTCATACCCAGAAACAAAATGATAGCCAACGAAGCAGACACACGATTGGTGATGGCTGTCCTCACGTGAGCCCTGGCCTGGATAGCCCAGGCTCGCCTGATTTCGTCAGGTCTTGGAAGCTAAGCAGGACCGACCCCGGTCAGTATCTGGATGGGAGGCCGCCCAGGAAGCCCAGGGTCGCTGCTACACAGAGGCAGGCGAGGGCAACACCGCCTCTGAGCGTCTCTTGCCTTGAAAGCCCCAGGAGGGGTTGCCCTAAATCAGCTGTGACTTGACAGCAGAAAAAAGATCAGACTATTTGGTCCTGAAAGCTTTTTTGCTACCAAAAGTGGGGGTTTCATTCTGTTGTCCTGGCTAATAGCTGGCATTCATCTCCCATGGATGTGTCTAATCCTTTTGGAAAAGCCACCTAAACCAGTGGCCATGAACACATTTTGTTTTTATGGGCATGCGCTCTGTGTCTTTAACAGCAACCCAGAAATCGACAAGTGTGGGATTTTTTAACATCATGCACCTCTGTGCTGATGAAAACAGTGGCCGGCCTGAGGGGGTCAGGAAGGCTCCTATTCTCCCACGCAGGTTCCCATAGTAAACTTGCGGGAAAAGTAACATCTAATTGGCCAAGTTAAGTTATTTCTTCCCCTGCCAGGCTTATTGTTAATCCCCCACTTTTCTTCCTTAGACGTTGTTAAGTATGAAGTTGCTCCTCCTTACCCTAGTATTTGGGGCCTGTGTGTGATTCCCTTCTTACTCTTTCTTGGGGCAGGATGGATGGTTAGTTTCTTGAACTTATTTTTTTTAAGTTTTTTTATTTTTTTTAACTACATTGACAAGGACCTACATATATACAAACATATATCACATCTTCTAAACATAAAAGTGGGAGTACATTGTGCTTACATATCGCTTATTGCCTCTTATTCCAGGGGTAGGGTAAAAGGTAGGGTTTTCCCCATTAAGAACATAAGGCCCATCCAGTCCAACACTCTTCTGTGTCACACAGTGGCCAGAAATACCAGGTGCCACCAGGAGGCCCACCAGTGGGGCCAGGACACTAGAAGCCCTCCCACTGTTGACCCCCCCCCCCCAAGCACCAAGAAGACAGAGTATCACTTGCCCCGGAGTCCTGATAAGCGTGTACTACGTTGCTGGCTGTGGGTTCTGACGTTCTGTTAAGAATCCTTCATTCTCTATCTACGCGCCTCTCTCCCTAACCAAGATGAGCGCCGGAGAGGAGAAACTGAACCCTTCGGAAAAGGAGGGGGAGGGAGAGGAGGAAATCCCTGTCCCTATCCCAACCCAGCAGGTGACACCAGTGACCACCAAGCCACCGGTGACTGTGGCTGAGAAGGGAACCGTCCCAAAGACGACATCAACCCTGGTGTTCCCGACCCCCTCGGGGCCGCGGCTGCTGCCCGGCCTGGATTATCGTCCAAGCTCCAGGTGGGGTCAATTCAACCCGGATTTCACTGCAGAGACTTATATGCTTACGCAGGGCCCCGGGAGAGACAGCAGGTTCGACCTGGGATTTACCGCTGGAGGTTTTCCCCCAAATGGGGCCTCCTTCGAACCACCGCCGGCCCTGTGGGTAACGGAGCGATCCAAGGTGAGGGCGCATGTCCCCGGAAGAGGGACTGGAACTGGCCCACCGAATGGAGATGGCGGATCGGGAAAGGCGACAACTGCAAAGGGATCTGGAGGGCCTGTTCCATGTGATTCCCACCGGCTCCCCCGGCACAGCCACAGCCTGGGGACGTGCCCAGGCCGGCCCTGGGGGAGGCCCCGGTTCCAGCGCTCCAACCTGCCAGCCCGAGAGGCCAGGTGATCCATTGCCCGAAGGACCTCATCGAGGCCACGTTTGACGGGAACCCTGAGGAGCTCTCCTACTTTGTGGTTCGAGTGATGAAGTTCGTGGAGAGGTCGGTCCACTTGTCCCCAGATGACAGCAGTCGCGTGGATGTGATAACATAAGAACATAAGAGACGCCAATGTTGGATCAGGCCAAAGGCCCATCCAGTCCAACACTCTGTGTCACACAGTGGCCAGAAATACCAGGTGCCATCAGGAGGTCCACCAGTTGTCAGAGAGCTGCCAATGTGTTCTGTATGTCTTTCCCTTCCCCCCCCCCATTGCAGTTCATAACCAGATCCTCATGCGCATGTCTGTAAGTCTTCTGAAGGGCTCATTTCTATGTCTCATGCATTCCTTTCGATATACGCTAGTGTTGCTTTATACTATCGTAATCAGCAAGATCACAGGTGGGGAAAGTCGGCTTCGCTTGGTCTGTAATGAACTAGAGTGTGAGAAGTGTTTAATTGTTTATCTTTTAGGAGACGTTTGTTCTCAGGCTTTGGGCGCGAGTTTGACAGCCCAACCGCGCGAGCGGGAGCCAAGTCTATTGGTTATTGCTATTTTGAAATGGCTTTATTATTCTGTGCCCGACCTTTCTGGTTATTCCAAACAGTGAACTTGTTCCAGTTTCTTCATGGCTTCAATAAATATTACTTTGCTACAAACGTGTATTTGATTGACAGCTGTGGATTCGGACACCAGTGGGGCCAGGACATTAGAAGCCCTCTCACTGTTGACCCCCCCAGCACCAAGAAGACAGAGCATCACTTGCCCCAGAGTCCCTATCTATACCTTGTGGCTAATAGCCACTGATGGACCTCTGCTCCATAGGCTTATCTAATTCCCTTTTGAAGCCGTCTGTGCTTGTAGCCGCTGCCACCTCCTGTGGCAGTGAATTCCATGTGTTAATCACTCTTTGGGTGAAGAAGTACTTCCTCTTATCCGTTCTAACCCGACCGCTCAGCAATTTCATGGAGTGCCCACGAGTTCCTGTATTGTGAGAAAGGGAGAAAAGTACCTCTTTCTCTACCTGCTCTTTCCCATGCATAATCTTATAAACCTCAATCATGTCACCCCATTGGCTGATCTGTTTTCAATACCCTTCCTAATAATCCCCAGCATAGCATTGGCCTTTTTTATTGCAGTCACACACTGTCGCGACATTTTCAATGAGGTATCTACTTATGCTTTAATCTACTGATTTTGTTTTGGGAGTTTGAAAAATGTTTTTTGAGAAATCTTTCCCAGCTGGGGGAAAGTAGGGGAGAGATCTCTTTCCAGGGTGGGGACAGCATTTGGGCAAACGTGGCTGCTGTCATACAGGCAGAAAAATGCGGGGGGGGGGAAGCGTGGCTGTTTGCCCCAGGGCAAAATAACGCGCGGTTGCGCGAGCAGACATCCCATGGAGGTCCTGTGGAGGTCCCGTGGTAGGAGGGAGGTGCTGATCACACCACAATCCTGTGGTGCGGCAAAAAAGCGGCACGCCACGGCAAACGGGTGGGGTTTTTTCTGTACACCGACGTGTGCGCATGCCCCATTGGGTGCTTGTGCACATCCCGAGGACACTTGAAAAGAAAAACCTTTTTGCGAGGGGACATGGGCAGGCGCCGGATGCCATGGGATTCCACCGGAAACGCGATCACATGCCCGCCCTTGTCCCGCGGTTTCCGGAAACTAGTACCTCCGAGGTACTAGTTTTTTACCGCACATCTTCGGAGTGAAGCCTCGGGTGAGCCATGGGAGCTCTACGCTTCCCAGATGTGGCGGTGAGACTCCGCCCGGAAAATCCGCCTATCTTCCGTCTCTCTAGCGTGCCTAATGCTCCATGTGACCACAGCCCGTATTAGGTAGCCTCCCTCGCTGTTAAGGGTTCGTTTCAACTAAAGCTGTGTTCAGAAAATAAGCTGTCTTCTCTGCCAGGAACTCGATTTTGCTGTCTCTCCCCCCCCCCCCCCCCCTTTTGGTCTCCCCCCCCCCCCCCCCGTGCTCTTCCCCCTCCAGTGAGTGTTGTGTATTGCAGGCATCATGGGAAATTGTGTCTTTGTACTGGACTTGCTCTGAGTTGTCATGTTTAGTGCCTGCAACTGTGGTATGAAATGGCTCAAATCGATGCTGCACACCTCAAAATCTCTTTCTAAAGTTACCCATATTTTTTCATTGTTGTCAAGACCTTTTAAAAATCTTTCTGGAGTTTAGAGAGATAGAAGTAAGACTCTCCTTTTCCTCCTCTTTTGAGATATGTAAATGCTGTATTTTTTTCTTGGGGGGATATATTATTAAAGTTTAAAAATGCTTTTTAAAAAGGAAGGCTCCTATTCTCCTGGCTTTCTGCAAACTATGCAAAACTTAATTACTCAAGAGGGCTTTTCTATGCAAATAATAGGTTGCACTGTACAAAATTATTCACAAAGTTACTTGGATAGATTATTAGGGACTGTGGTGTATCCTACTGTGTATAGTTTGTTTTAAGTTGGATCCTACTGTGTAATTTTGCTTAATTTAATGTGCCATGCTAACTATTTGCATTGCTTCAGTTTCATTTCTATATGGCTCTACAACCCAAATCCTATTCTGTTTATTGAATGTCCCATTGTGTTGATTGTACTGACTCACTCTGTGTTGATCCGCCTTGAGTCCCAGTGAGAAAAGCAGAGTATAAATAACATAAATAAAGAAATATTAAAGGCAAAGAGCCCCTGTGTGTACACAGTTTGGCAACTGTTATCATCTCATTTAACTTTGAACCATGAAAGTTAGACAAAGATACCTGAAATTTCTAACTAGAGCCTTTAAAATATTTGTACTTCTACAGGGACAATTTTAGTTTTGTAAGCTGCATAAAATACTACTGGAGATCACAAATTCCCTACTAGGTTTGTTTCATTACTTCGCCCCCAGTATCTCCCCCTCCCCCCCCATCAGTGTCCAGCATACAGAAATTACAAAAAAGAAACATTTCCCACCAGTTCATTTCCATGCCAGGTGAAGCTTCACCTCTTGCATTTCTGCTGTTTAAAAGCACAGCAACAGAGCTGGTAAAAAGATGAGAGGCAGCCATATTGCACACATTTGTTGAGTTCCCCTGTCAAGGCTAATCATGACTAATCAGAGGTACATGATATAAAATTTCTGTAAAGGCACTTCCATGGAAAGACCTGAAGAAACTCTACTTCTAGACCATAGCACGCAACTGACCACAGCTTCCTAGTACATACATTAGTGCATGTAAATGCAATTTTCAAAATGGGTAAGGCAGCCTTTTTTAAGGAGCTGCGGTGGCTCAAGTGGTTAAGATGCTGAACTGCAGGCTGTGGGTCGGTAGTTCAGCATTTCGAGACCCGAGTGTGCCGCATGACGGAGTGAGCTCCCGTCTCTAGTTCCAGCTCCTGCCAACCTAGCAGTTCGAAAGCAAGAAATTGCAAGTAGATAAATAGGTACCACTTCGGTGGGAAGGTAACAGCGTTCCGTGCGCCTTGGTGTTTAGTCATGCCGGCCACAGGACCACGGAAACGTCTTCAGACAGCGCTGGCTCTTCGGCTTTGAAACAGAGATGAGCACCGCAACCCTAGAGTCGGATTTGACTGGCTTTCGAGCAAGGGGAACCTTTACCTTTACGGCAGCCTTTAGTGACTTTGAAGTGTGCGAAGTAAAACAAATGTGTACAATGCAGATACGAGTCTCATCAATACCAGTTATGGCAACCATAAAGGAGTAGTTGAATAGGTTCTGCTCTCCACACTTGGGGAGCATACGCTGACTTCTCATGCATACACCACCTTCCTTCCCTCCTTCCCTCCCCCCCCCTCCCTCCCTGGCTGACTCCCTCCCAGCACTCACTCCAGTTTGTGGCCAAATGGCTCCTGATGTTGTTACTTTCCCCAAACTAGGCATGTACCAATCTCAGGTGAGAGGGGAAGAAGGGCACAGTGGCAGTTGGGAAAGCAACCACGGAAAGAGGAGAGAACATGTTTGAGGGGGGGGGGGTGAAAGCAGGGTATCTCATGCGGAAACCACAAGTGGCTGTGAGTACAAGAGGAAGCAACAGCGTTTCCTGTTGGGCGGGGTATAGTAACAGAAAGAGGGAAACAGCACTGCAAGCAAATTCTAGGCTCAGTGTGGACAACAGTCCAGTGTCACCTAGCCAGTCCTTAGCCGTTACCCTCTCTCTAACCTGAATTTTCCTCAAGATACATGATCCCAGTAGTCATCATAACAAGGACCCAACATTACTTATCTTTAAAAACATGACAAACAGGGATTCAGTAGACAGCCTCCCCTTTCATGTATACATGAGAAAAAGCCTTTGTTGCTCATGTGCTCTATCGGGGGAGGGGGGGACACCCCCACCTCATAAAGGTAAGGCTGGACAGGCTCTTGCCTCTACAAGAGTTGCATAAAGGCATCTTGGTGATGTTTGTATGGGAAGGCAGAGTAAAAATGCTTTTCAACCAAGCAATTATCTAGAAGGGGAAATTCTCACAGGTGCAGCTTCTCCCACGACTACAGTAATGGGGGAAAGTGCACCTAGGAACATCCTACTTCTTGTGCAGAGGAGGCCACTGAGGTTCTATGGTAGCAGAGGCGCTAGGAAGAACTTTTGCTGCCCATAATCAAGCACCACCAATCTTGCTCCCAATGCCCCTCAAGTGGGAAAATGTCCTGGTCCCCTGAACGAAGAATGGAACAGGAACCATTGCAGCACATGCAAAGAGGAAGCAGAATTTCTGCACGAACCTCAGCAGTTCTCCCCTCCCCCAATTTATCTGCACAGCTCTCAGTTCATCTCCTTGAGACCATGACATCAGCAGCCTGGGATGCAAAGAAAAATATGACTTCTTTTTTCCCAGAGACAGAATTTCTTTCTGTTCCAGTCCTGTAACATGACAAGCTGCACCCTGACAAAGTCCCTCTCCTATGAAAAGCACAGAAACCCTAACCCTCTTCTGCATCTGATCGTGCAGAAGAAAGCTTGTTAGCTGATGTGTGAAAGGGTCTCTTACTCACCAATCTTCTGAGAAAATATCTTGTCAAAGGTCACCTCACCCCGGTCTTCCAGGTATTTCTGCATAACACTGCGGATGCTGCCAAGAGACAAGGCACATAAGCAGGTTAGTAGGAAAGCACCTCTTTAGCTTTGCAGGTTCTTCTCTTAGGGAATCAAAATAAGCACTATCTTCAGAGGAGACCATGAAGACTCTTTATTCCAGATGTTGGGATGTGGTATCCAGCACTGGGTACCCCTGGTTTCATTCATAGGTTATGGGCAACTAGCTCTTTGAAGGACAGCCTCTTGTCTCTACCTGCACCTAATTGGACCCAGGAGCAGGAAGAAAAGAAAGGCAGTCTCTGAGACCAGTAGGTGACTGAAAAGAGGTTTGTTACTTGCCTTAAAGGAGAGGTCAGATAGAATTTAATCTGTGTCTGGGAGGTTCGCAATACAAGCCCATTAAAAAAGCCTTTGGACAATACTGGCCTTTCTTCTTCAGCAAGAAAGTGCAGGTCTGATTAAGGGTAAATAGGGTTCCTAGCCTTCAGGTAAGGAGATAAATATGTGAGATCTCAGGGCTGCTGTCCTGAATCCATCCGTTCTGGTAAATGCAACATTTGTTTATCTGGGGAAGGAAAGTGATGCTGAAAGTCCCAAGATGGTAAGCGAGAAGCTAGCTAAGAGTACTGTCTCCCTAGTTAAGAATGAACCTGCCTTTTCAGGGGTTGAAAAATACACCAATTAAACTCAGAGATGAGCTTGCAACATTCCAAGTTGGCAGCTTGCAAAATGCAGTAGGTGATCTAACCATTACAGTGCCGTGCTGGGCTAATATATTACAAAGGATCGGGGCTCTGTCGTGAAGCCATCTGCCCTCTTTCAAGTTGGACTATGGTTGGATTTCCTTAATAGACATTAATTTATGAAGTGATGCACACAGAACCAGCTTCTATGCAGAAACTTTGTAGCAACACCGCACAGGCAGCTGGGCTTTTCCAGGGCTTTCAGGTGTGAACACTTATGCTCTGCTTGTGAAAAATCTTTCAAAAAACACCTTAGGGTTCTTTTACCTGAATTTTAGCCAAATTTATTTAGAAATCACACTAAATGCAATGGGTTATTTTTGTACTTTTCAACAGTTTGACTCCATCCTTGTTTACTTGAAACTAATTCCTTTGGTTTATGAAGTAAATGTGATTGATTGTAATCACGATGCCCCGCATATCAGTACAACTCTGCTGAGTCAGTGTTTCTGACATGCCCAGTTCACATCCTGACTGATGCAGCTCCTGTGTTGCTGGGCTGGCTGCAGTGGACAGGATGACTGATGCAGCAGGGAATGCAGGATCCACCTACTGTGCTAGCTGGTCTCTCTCATATTGTGCACTTTCTTACAGTTAGTGATGGAAACAACCATGCAACACCCCCCCCACACACACACACACACAGGGGCCAGTTACACAAGTGTCAGAATTGAGTGGGAAAGCCTTTCCTGAATTGTTCAGCTGCAGGGGGGAGGGAAGTCCCTTCACATACAAAATTAGCATGTTGGAGATGTGCCTCTTCACCCCACTATGTTCGCTACTTTTCTGTATGCAGGGAGGCATTCAAACATGTATCATCTCCCACTTGCAGCCTGAAGAGGAACAATCCAAAAAAAGCTTTACCCACTTCTTCCTGAATGGTCAAACAGGCACTTGTTTGGCCTTAAATGCCGGCTGAAACACAAGGAGGGCTACGGCCTCAGCACAAAAGGCAACCGCATTGTCCTTAAAGGGGGGGGGTGATCTTTATGTCACTGTTTAGCCGGGGTTGTAAAATGAGAGAACCTCAACTCTGCATTACGATGATACAGCCTGAGGCTGGCCTGAGTGCTCTTCTGCCCAGGGATGGCAAAACAGCAACGATTTCTCTTGTGCAAGGAAAAGACAGACTTCTCAGTGGAAGAAGGGTAGCTGGCTGGCTGCATTTCTGGTGCTTGGTGCTCTTATGGAACTGGGATAATACATCTCCCGTATCTCCATGACAACTACCTCTGGGGTGGGGTGGGGAGATCTCATAGCAATATCATTAATGCTCATGCTTTGGGTATCCTCACAGTCTCTTGGTCAGGTAGAAGAAGAAGAGGAGATTGAATTTATACCCCCCCTTCACTTGGAGTCTCAGAGCGGCTGACAAACTCCTTCCCCTTCCCCTCCCCACAACAGAAAGACACACAGTGACTGAGGTGGTTGGGGCTGAGAGCTCTTGACAGAAACGGCTCTTTTTCAAGGACGGCTGTGCCAGAGCTTGTGACTGGCCCAAGGTCACATCAGCAGGTGCAAGTGGAGGAGTGGGGAATCAAACCCGGCTCTCCCAGATTAGAGTCCTCTGTGCACTTCACCACGACACCCAACTGGCTCTCTTCACAAGCCTTACCCCCCTTGACGGGGGCGGGGGAGTCACCACAGGGCGGAAGCACACATGGGGAAAGCGTCTCTGGTCATCTGTGGCCAGTAAGAATCTACTCCATATACAACTAGGTAGGGAAACATGTCACAGGCTGGTTCTCTTAAGAAACAGGTACGTTCAGGCATGCCAGAAAAATCACATGGGAGAACTTTGGTTGGCTTATGGAGCTCTTATCAACTGTGCATGTCCTTTTACTTGCAGAAGTTGGAAGAGTCAATGTTGCTTGGGGGGGGGGGGTTATATCCTGAGGGTTTAAAGCAAACTGACTGTGGCTCCTTAAGTCTTGTCTTGGTTTTCCACTTAGTAAAGGACAGCGGTAGATACAGCAGTGGGTTATCTAGAGTGCTGGCTCTCTCCAGCTCTCCTAGCACAGCCACTTAATGAAAGGCAGTCACTACTAAAAATAATCAGCCAGCTGTTGACAATGCTCTTGTTTGCTGAAAGGCCATTGGGGAGGAAGTGGAAGTTGCTTGCAAGCATCCTTGGGCATCAAGGGAGAGCGCAGGCTTGGATGGCCCTTTTACTGTTTCTTTGTTTTTTAAGCCCTTGTGAATTAGAAACCTCTTCTGAGAGCCTGGCTCCAATACTTTGGGGAACACTGGCTGCCTTCATGGCCAAGCAAAGAAGAAGGAAACAAACACACAGGAAGCGGTTTGATTCCTTAACAGGACAACCAACAATTTGTAGTAATGCCAGCGGATTCTGCCTTCTCATAAGTGTCAGGCGACTCTGGCTGTGACATACACAGAGGGAGGTCAGAAAGACCCTGTAAACAAAGAGCAGGGCTGCAGCAGCGGCTACTGAAGTCGGGACATGGGTTGCCCCTACTCATGTACTGTGCAGCAGTTGCTTACGCTAAAGCACATCTAACTGGTCTACACCCGCAGGTGACACCACTTCCTGACAGCAGCAGCAGACATGCACACAGCTCTTCTTTGAGGCCGCACTCTGACTGGGGTGGGAGGGACCAAGGGGGAAAAACCCTGCTACACAGCTTGGAGGAGCCAGTCAGAACGTTGCAAGGGCAGGAAGCACATTGATACCAGTGCTTCCTGCCCAATAGGGATTACAGAGAGCTTCTTTTCCTGACCCCTGTCTCTGCTCTGCACGGTTTCATGTTGGGCCTCTTGGCAGAGGGGAGGCTAACGGGTTCTGATGATGAGCAGCAGCCCTGAGTGCCATCCTCACTCTCCTCCCCCCCCCCCCTTACAGCATCTGGGTAGACACACAGCCTCCCAGGCCCAGTCTTCAATACACAGAGACAACGTAGTTTGTGGATTTGAGCATCAAGCCAGGATGCAGAAAACCCCATTTCAAATCCTTCCCTGACTGCAAAACTCACTGAACTGCTGAAACCAAGTGTTGCTGCTGTCTGTTGGCTTAACCTCTCTTGAGGGGACAGAGCTGCAAGGATAAAATGCTGCCTTTGGATGGAACAGAAGCAAAGGGAAATCCCTGCCGTTCAGGTAGTGACCTTGGCCACGCCACGCAGCCCTTCTGCTCATGTTCCTCCTGTGTAGAAACATGGCCCTTTTATTTGCCCAGATCCTGGGTGGTCACCGAGGGGTGGCCCTGCACGTGCATTTCCCACAAGGTGACCCAGGGAGCCTGCAGTCATCCTCCCGGCTTCAGCACTTTCGGTAACGTCCCCTAAATTCTGAGGCACAGGTGAAAAGCAGGAAGTGCCCCCAAAGGGCACACGTGTTCACGAAAGGCAGGGTGTGCTGTGGGGCCAAGCAGTGTGCCATTTCCACAAGCCTGTCTAGTTGGCAGGGTGTGCCTGAGGGCGAGCAGCACCGTCTTCCAGAACAGCTACACTGTATCCTCGAGAGCAAGGCTTTGTCTGTGCCAAGAGCAGCAGGCCAAAGAAACCAGCATCCTCACAGCATTGCTTTCCCATTAAATTATTAAATTAAATACTACAAACAATACTACATTAAATACTACAAACAATACTACATTTTTAGTTTTTCTTTTTTTACTTATTTTATATGTGCAGGTGTGTGTGTGTGCACCTGGAAGTCATGGCGACCTCTGGTAAGACTGACCCCTCCTGGGGGCCCGGAGGATAGTCAGAGAGGTGGCTGAAAAAGGCCCGCCCCCCGCCCCCCACCCGGCATCCCAAGGGGGGTCTGCCATCCAAGGACTTGCCAGAGATGGCCCTGCTGAGCTTCCAAGATCTGACAAGATGGGGCTATCCAGGTCGAGGCAAGTTTTTAGGTCATAAAATTGCTCTTCCCATGATGATAGACAGAATACACGCTGTGAAAACCAAAATATATGCATCCTATTTATTTGGCACATTTCTCCCTCTGTGTGTGTGTGTGTGTGCGTGCATACAGTTCCACCTCATCACCTATCTCCTCCAACCCATTTTCTTGCTCATGAAATACCGGATGGGCTTAGCAGTGCTCCCATGAAAGGGAACCCAGAACCCCTTTGATGAGGACTCTGTCCATCACCGTCCCCTCCAGGCAATCCTGGCCATTTTCCCTTTTTTCTGCTGGCTTCTGGAATGAAGCCTTTGGGGTCAAAATCAGAAAGGTTCCCAGGGGAAGATGGACAGAAGCAGAATGTCAAATTTCCCCCTACCAAATAGGAAGAATTTTTCTGCAGTATTTGCTTCAGAGAGATATCCTG